ATTGTAAATGAAATACGAATGGAAGTTGTGTAAATTGTTAGCTGATTTCTGTTAGCTGGACTCCTTGAACTTTGAGTTTAATATGTAGTTAAGTTAGGGATAACTCCAAAAGTGGAACAGCTCAAAGGAACTTTTTGCATTCAAGGTATGTATATTTATGTTTTCTTCAAATTCTCTAAACTAAAGGTGAAGAACAATGATGTTTTAAGTGAGTTTCTTGCAAGGGGTTTTTAGTCACGCAATCGCCAAACAGTGATTTTGCATATTTAATGAACCAAAGTTAACCCTTTCTCAAAGTGTTTGAATTTATTTGCCCAAAATAAATAATACATTTCTGTAAAGGGCAATTTCCCAATAGTGCTTGTGCAAAATCTCATAAGATCTGAAAGGATGGCAAATGGAGAAATTTGTCACTTTTTACACGCAATGACAAACAATAAAGATCAGTACCCGTCACTCTTTATTGTGCACAAATGTGTTCAGTTGTTCAATTATCATAAAACCACTTTTAATAAACGAGGGAGTGATGTATCTTTAGCAAAAAGTATAATAAGGCTATTTGGATTTAGGGTTTGGATACCAGGATTAAGTAAACATACGCAATTTCGGCCATTTTTCGATTGCGAAAATCGGTCCTCACAGCTGAAACATTTTTTTGCCTTTTTTTCATAAACAAAAGAGTGTTTTTAAAAACTAACCGCATAACGTTTCTCACTTCACCATAGTCAACTTATATTCAAAAGTAGAGCGAATTTAAAATTTTGAGCCTTGCCACATATTTCTCATTTTGTTTGATTTTTGTAGACAGTCGCTCTTAATGAGCAAAAATACCAGTAAAAAACACGCATTTCATCACGTCGGAATTCGAGGCTGTCAACAATTGGCAAATTGTTCTTGATCGGAATTTGAGGCTGTCAACAATTGGCAAATCCAGGCATGCCTGGATTTGTTGAACATGCGTAAAGCCGTCAAAATAATTGACACGCGCCTGAACATTGCATGGAACGTCGAGAGGCGCTAAAGGCCCACACAGACCGGACGCGATTCGACAACGTGACGCGAATTTTCAGTTTTCAAAAACAAATAAAACCGTCAACGAATACATATTTTACAAGATATGCAGACCAAATAGCTAAAATTGCTTAAGTTGTCCCGAATATTTGAAAAACATTGAAAAATATTAAACTTATTAAATTTCATTGAAAAGTGAAAATTCGCGTCGCGTTGCCAAATCGCGTCCGGTCTGCAAGCTGAATTGCGCCATGAATCATAGAGCCTGTGCACATGTGGATAGCCGTGATTATATTGGAAAGATAGTGGTGAAAAGGGGTTAACTGTAGATAAGGTCGTAAAAATATAGGGATTCTTATGGATTGACATATTATCTAAAAACAAGTCGAAGATGGCGGCCGAAGATCGAAAGCTAAACATTGTACGAAAGCTCGCGAAATAGCCGTTTTTTCGTGGCTAAAGTTGTTGTTGTAGGCCGATAACAAAGTCAACATGTTCTGTTCTATACTATTGTGAGCTGATATTGTCTTTGGAATGATTTTACAAGCTCGGATGCTTATGGATTTGCTGTACAAGTTGTGATGTTGTCGTCTTTGATGCTGCATTGGGAAACTCAAAAATAAGATAAGTTTTCCTTACATTTCTTACGTTTTCAATAGTGTTGCAACACATAGGCAATTCACTTGTCATTTCTATGTTTTCTTTGCTTTTAGATTTTGTGGAAGTTGTGAATATCGCAACTGCTCTTATGATTGCCTCGCTGTTTGGTTAATACACAGTTCAAAACATCATTTTGGTATGTATAAAAACTATTTTATCTTGCCTAAGAAAGTTTTTGTCATTAGCCAATAAAAATACGGTATTTTTTCCCGCTACTTTTACAAACTTGCAGTATAAGCAGTGAGACGACGTCCATTGCTTGCTGTTTTTCCAAAATTACAAAAGGTCTTTTTTACACTCTTTTTTCGAAATGCTGTCCATAAATATTTTTGGTTGGGAGCTTTCAACAATAGTTATTGAAGGAAGTTCATTTTATATTGTGGATGACAATCTATATGCATTGTTTGGATATGTAAAAATAAAAACAAGAGTTGGATATCTGAAGGAACTGTGTTTTTCAAAAGCTCAGAAATATCCTTTTATTTTACGTGAGTCTGGCCAGGTTCAGAAAAGCACAGAAGGTGTGAGGAAGTCCTCCTGCAAACTTATGTCTGGTGAGAAATATATATTAACTCCAGACATGTTGTCTTTAATGCTTTTGGAGAAGCAAGACCGAGGCAAAGCAAAACTCAGGAGTGTAGTTTGTACAAATTCTTTTGTAAAAGAACTATCTCAGCTTATTACTCTGGTTCCACCTCACAGCACCGAGAGTGTTTCCTGTGCAAGCTACTTCAGCCATCCTCAACAACTACACCATCTTTGCCACCATCTACTCCACCACCTTCATCGCTAATCAATGCTTTCAACCCATCACCAAGACCATCAGCCCGTAAAAGAATATACAAATAATGAATGTTTATGAGTGCAATGGTAAGAATATTTTCATGAGGTGAAAGACAGCCGAGTTCAATGGAACATTCCATCTTTTACTGAATGAAAATATTCTTACTGTTGCACGAAGAAACATTCATTATTTGTTTTATATAATACCAAAATAGACTAATAGATTCGTATGAGAAGCATTTTGAGGGATCCGATTTATCGAAAACACAAAGAGTGCAATTGTACTATACGTTTTATTCCATTGCACTCGCGGAGAGTGCAATGGAACGTGTTCCATTGCACTCTTAGGAAATGGAATTTTCTATTCAATATCACGTGACCATAAACAGCCAATTAAATGATTAGAATTTAATAAGGTATTATATAAAAACAAATGGTGATTGCCAGTGTCGAAGTTTATTTAAAAGGCGAATGATTGTCTCTGACAACACCTCAGCACGAAGCAAGCGGCGAAGGGTTTTGGCATCAAAGCGGTTGTTTATGTCGTTGGGCGAGAAAC